CCCCGTCAGGAGCAAGCCGTTGTTTCCTTGATCTAATTTACCATTAATTGCCTAGTACTGGTTGTTTCCAGAAACGAATTAAAAGTGATTTATGAAGTTTAATAGCTTCAACATTAATTTGAAATACTCTTTTTTAAAGCATTTTTATCAAGTGAGAATGTGTTTGCATATCATTTCAATGGCTTAATTTTTTATTATATACCTAATAGAAAGTTTCTTACATATGAAATATTAAAACTTATCGCTTATTTTCATTTTTAAAAAGTGTTCGGTGGTTCCAACATATACAGAAACACACTGAGAGAAAAATTTAGCATTAACAAACAGTATCAGTAAATTGTTTGATACTGTTTTATTTGATTAGTTAATGTATGGAATTTGTCCTCAATTACCCACTTACATATTCATTTAGAACCTGCACGTATAGCATATCGATTTTATTATTAAGGGAATGGATTTTCACCTATGGCTTAATTGGTAATCTGCAGTTAATCGAGCAAACAAACACGCGCTCGCTTTGCACGAAATAATATTTATTGCTTTCACTCGATCAGGGTGAAGGTAATTCTTTGTGAAGTACTAGATGTTTAAGAAATTGAATACCCTGATGATTTTAAATTGTTCAATAGGCACGTGTGCACCGTAAAACATTTTCTTTTTAATGTTCATTAAGATGAACAGCATGCCTACATTACCCAGATGAATTCATTGAATGTTCAGATATCATTTTTGCAACAAGTGCTGTTGTTTATGTTGTTAACTTTCCAATACTTATACCCGGCAAACAAATTGATTACTGAGTTTAGTTCATCAAAACTCATTTTCTACATGCACTTAAATTATTAGAAAACACGCATTATCGAAATATATATGTTGATAATGTTATTTCTCGAATATATGATATTATGATGAAAGTGCGACATAAAACCGTCTTGATGCTTATAAAAATTAAAATTGCGTATTCTTTTTAAATAAAGAAAAATTAATATTTGAGTGATTCTTACATAAAAAATTTAATGTAACTAACTGGAAGACCCATTATGCCTAAGAAATGTTTTCATTTTAAAAAAACCCTTTTATTTATGGTACCTTGTAACAGTTCCAAAAAAACTCATTTGCCATATAAACTTAAAGTGTGAAAAAAGTGTAAATAAAGTGTACATATAAATAAAAAAAGCTTTAACATTCAACGGCACCGTGCAAACTCCACTCGAAGTGACCTTTAGTAATAAAACATCAAACAAATGAAGTGAGTTTCAGAATACTGAGATGTTTACCAAATGCCAAAAGTAACTAATATCAGATAATTGAAGTAAAAGCCAATTTGTAACAACCATAATAAAATTTAAGTCCGTGGCCGAATGGTTAAGATCGATGAATCAAACCAAGAGCCACTCACCTCTGTTGGTTCGAGTTCCACAAGGAACATTAAAATTCTTTCATGTGAGGGAGCTGTCCAGCAACGTTGGTGGTTCTATTCGGTTGCCTGAAATTATTAAGGCAGGGGCATCAGTGAAGCTAGAAAGTCGCAATATCACAATGACTGTGTTGGTGCGACATAACACCAAACCCCAAACAATAATTAAGTGATCACTTTCTTTCTATAAAAATTCTAAATTTCATCTTATAAAATTCTTTATTCTCATTTTTCAAAAAAAAACGAAGTTTTACGGGGCATTTATCTGAATTAATACGAGGATTTTATTGGAAAAAGTATTTTTTGATACACTTTTGTGGAAACTAATAAATGAACATTAAGTTCAATAACATGCACATTTGATGGTTATTCTAAATATTGGTTGTTATATGCCCTGAATGCATCGTATGCGTAGCCGTGCTAACGAAAATTATTCATAAATCTTATTTATTTACTCGAACCATACAAAAAGGTAAAAAAGAAAAGAGAAACAGAACGGTAAAAAAAAACAACTTGATTAAGCTTGTATATGAACTATAATGGTAAATACAATCATACGGTTGTATGAATATTCACAAAAGCGTTATAGATATAATTATGAGTTCTTGCTTATAAACCTCAAATTGTGCGTCGAAATTAATGTATATATCATTTCACTTTCAACCGATTTAAATATCCTATGTGTCGGTCACATTGTCTTCATGTGTTAGTCGTATTACAAATATCAAGAAAATCCTTTAAAGAGGATATATAAGGAACCTCTCTTGCTAGTTTCCGGATCGTCGCTGGTTCTACCCAGGTTCCAGTTTGAGCATTTAATAATTCACGAATGAGCACTTGAAGTTTTTCTCCCCCAGTAAAGCTGAAAAATCGACATATGATTTCTACGTAAATCCAAACACAATTATAAAGATGAATTGAGCTGAGATACAAGGAGGTAATATCGTACGTTCAAATAAAACAATAGCAATGATCTGGCACTTTTATCAAACATTTGGCGTATGTTTCACTGTGTAAATTAATTTAATGTACATTTTGTATTTGAATGACTAGGGATGTTATGGAAATAACACGGAAATGCTACTGACAAACGGACGGATGTTCGTACATGCCCAACAGTGTTTATACTTTGATCGATTATTTATCTTTCAATTCCAAATTTTATTTTTAGACCCTGCAGTACAAATAAAACCCACAAAAGTGTTTGTAACAATGGCAAGTTCTATAGTCAGCGTTCCCAAGTAACTGAACTCCAAGTCTAAATATTGTTACAGTATTAGCTTTGTATGGGTACTGTTCTAAACCCTATAAGTGTCTGACATAAAACAAGAGAGTTTTAAGACGTCCAAATGTTTTAATAATAATACTAAATAACACAAACACGTTCCCTTTAATGACTAATTCCCGCGATTAGATAAGCAGTAGTTGCTACATAATTCTACAGCAGCTTAGACAATATCCATTGGTTACAGAACAATCAAATCGAAATTGTCTAACTGATTATGTGAACATAACATTGTAAACAGAATGAATGAAACAGAAATGTTAACATATTCGTTTTAAAGTTCATTTTTCTTTGTCTTTTTCATCATATTTCATATTCCACAAGTTTCCATTAAGAGTTTTATGTTATGTTATTCCATGCCCGTGTAAATGGTGGTAAATTGACGCACATGCAAAACATATCCGGTCGAATAACCTTACAAACTATAGGTTTCTGTACAGGACAAAAGAAAAAAAATAATCAAAATTAAGGTCAAGAAATATGGTGTATTTGTAAGAAAAATAGTCCCCCTTTTTTTAGAAAGCTGTCACTGCAGCTTAGGGGCGAGCTAATGTAGAAACGCTGTGTTCCTTATTGTGACTTTCGTTGAAAACATTGTTCATATTGTTCATAGCATCTACTTTATCCACTCGTAGATGATTTATCTGAAAGATTTAGTTCCATAATCAATTAAGGACATCAAAATAGGTAACAAACGTTACTTCATAGAATTTTAAGTAAGAAGTGTTGATGTGCTACCTCATATTTTTAAAGATATACTATGCTCATCCTTGAGTAAAATATTTTAATAAAAATCTATATCTCGAGTTTCATCCACGATGGCTTTGACAGTGCTGATGTCTTTTTCAGACGTGGCGGATATTTGCCTCCCAGGGCTGGGATCATCCTTAGCATTAGTTCTACTTTCCTTAAACATTGACACCCAAATGGCAATTGTACAATATGGAAGTACATTTGCTCCATAAACTTAATCTTGATCCATTTTTTTTTATTTCTGACCCGCATGTACCCAATCACCCACAAGTTTTGCAATAAGCTCTTAGGCACCTCTCTCAAATCACAATGCTACTCAGCCATGTTTACAATCAGTTTACAAAACAATGACCTGTTAAAATTATATGCGAAAATAGTAGATTATCTATTTACTTTCACATCCAATTCGTGGTAAACTGGAAGTGTTGCCATTTATTAAAATAAGCCCCTTGTAAGTTTCTTTTTCTGCTAATTGAGTAATGAAATCAATTTCTTATTATTAATATAATAAATAAGTGAACCTGCAGAGGTTAAAAAAGACAGGTGCTAGTTTATTAATCAATTCAAATGATGTTATAACACCAATAATGAATAGTTATAAAACATCAATATGCTAGTTGTTTGGCAATACTCTCACGAGACTTCTTAATTTTCGGGATATTTTTCGTTAGTTTCCGTAATCGATTTTATGACTTACGCTTAGGAATTTAATAATCTCATAGCCAAACATGTTGTTGAGAATTCGGCGTCCTACAAGAAATTCACTAGAATAGGACCTGATATGTCACAGGGGTCGGACACAATGAGGTCGAATCCTCACCGCCAGAATCATTGAACTCTGCAATTCGTTTTCTAGATGTTCTTTTCTTGCGAGGCATTTTGAAAATGAGCATGCAAGAGGTTGTGGACGGATATAATAGGTCCGAATAGATCCGTGGCAATTCGTTCTTCTCCGTAACAAACCCTACTTATTCGTAATTACCCGTGCTTATACCGTAGCAGACCGTAGTGTATCCGTAGAGCTTCCGTCCTGATTCGTGTCCTACATATTAAACCGTGTCGGTCCGTAACAATCTGTGTCACTCTGGCGGCTTTTACCTACATTTTGGCGGTAAATCCGTCGAACTCCGTACTCAAACCGTTGTGTTTCCGTATTGGAACCGTAGCGGTTACGGAATTTCACATTTCCGTGAAACGATTAGACCGTTGATCTTTTGTGGCGTTATCCGTGAATATGTGACCGGGGCAATTTGCATAGTTATTTGCATGAATAACACATAATAGTCAAGTTTTGCAAAATACAATAAGTTTATAATAAATTTCATAAAAGAAAAAAGAAAAAAATCATTTGATTCGAAACTACATTCTTTTATTTGAAACTTACAAGAAAATTGTATCACAGGCCTACATTAAACTCCGATCATGAACGACAAAATGTAATTGGATATTAAAATTAGCCGTGTCATAAAATATCCTTTAATATATATCGCGATAGCATTGCCTTTATGTACATTTAATCAATAATAATTCGTCCAGTTTAAACATGCTTACGCTTCATGAAGTAGTAACAAACGACTAACTTTAATTTATGTTTACATTCGGAAATTTATGTCCTAACTGAAGACAAAGGTTAACTTTTTAAAATCGTCACAAAGAGTTAATATTTAATGGAACATTTAGCAAGAGTTTTAAGATTCTACGGACCTTATTTGCTTAGTTTAGTTGGTATGTGCGACACTATTTAGATATAATTATAAAATATATTTTAAAGAAAAGAAGACTATATGGTAAGATTTAAGTGTACGTTCGACGAGGAAGCGTTTTACAATATTATAACCATATCTTGTACTAATATGTACTTAACATCGGGAAAATACTCGGATAAACATAAGATTCCACCAAAGCTAATCCTTTTTGTATTGATTGTAAATATAATGTGAATTATGTACTTGTTTTTTTTTTGTTTTTTTTGGAAATAACATTAGTTTAAGCAAAAACTATTGTTTACACATTAACATATCGCTGAAGCTACTATAACATTAGCATTTAAGATAAACAATGAAGAAGAATGGTTCATGCAATGTATCATTTATTTATACTTCTGCTTGCTTATAGACTACATGTGTTTAACCTACGTTCATGATACTATAGCAGGATTGTTTTTATTACTATAAAATCAAGATATTTTCTCTTGAAAAGAAATAAAGAAAACTGATAATAGTCATTGCATAAGGAAATGAGAATGAGTAAAAATATTGATGCTTGCACTTAAATAATTTACAGGTATGGAAAGGGGACAAAGAGACGGACAGCATAGCGGAGGAGAAGGTGCACACGGTACAAATGACACAGAGATGTAAGATTATCACTTTCGTTGCCATGTCATATGATCAGTTTCCTAGTTATAAGCCTTTCAAAACAATTATTTTTAAGATAGCTTAATGTCTCTAAAATATACATCTTACATATTTCGCTTTAATGTATATATTATTTTCTCGGCTTTTACTTTATTATCATATCCTTGACATAAGATACATGAGTAACAATTTGAATGCTTTTCATGACAAAACATAACATCAACATTAGTTCCAAATAATTCCAAATTGGAGAAAAAGTAATCTGATTTCTAAAACTGCTCGGTGAATTATTTGAAATAATTATTTCTTCCGTGGTTGCTTTATACTTCCTGCATTGACTTATATCGTAAAACATTCAAAATAAATACACTTTATTAAATCGTCTAACGTCGTGAACTTATGTGTACAAGCGAAATATTGATTTTAACGAACTTTCAAATGTAGATTTATAAAGATTTTGGCTCTTTTTATTAGTTTTTGTACGGTAGCATAGAGGTTACATGTGTGTGTTTTTATTTATCTCGTGCGAGCGAAATACTTTTCGTGGTAAGGGTTCTAGTCGTGGGAGGATAATTAATGGTGCGCCGATATATATTCGTGGCCCCGAGTTACTAGTCTTGCACAGATAAATAGTCTGGGAAATGATACTATGTGTGGACAAAACCATTATATACATTAAATTCCTTTGTTTCCGTTGAAATATGGGTGTATCTACGGAAAGCCGTTAGGGCCATCGCCTATGAATGTGTTGATCTGAAACGCGAAAGTCGATAGTACGATGGTGAAAACGCGAAATCACGAAACTACGATGGTGAAAACGCGAAAGTACGATGATGAAAACGCGATAGTACGATGATGAAAACGCGACAGTACGATACTACGATGATTAAAACGCGATAAACTATCGTGTTTCCACCATCGTACTGTCGCGTTTTTTGCCTAATTTATATTCATTCAAAAAACAATTTATAATTATTTCGAATATAATTCTCGAAAATATTCTATGTAAGACGGGTCTGAAGATCGTTTGAAATTTCTCGGTGTATTCCAAACGTTGTTCGCTAAGCTCCATTAAAGTACGGGCTTTCTGATTCAGTTACACAGTTACGAAGAGTTGTATAGAAAGAAATAACGATCGCTTTAGACTTAATTTCTGAAGAAAACAGAGGTGAATTTGAGAATAACATGCAGAGAAATAAAAATAATGAAAATTCATCTTTTTTTATTGACACGTAAATTAAACGTGCTGATCTACATTGGCGAATCGCACGAAAAACTCGTGATACATTGACCTGCACACTTATTTAACAGATCGGAACAGAACAGAATGTATAATTTACTATCACCCAAGCATTTTTCTAATCAATTATTAGGAACATAAAAAATGCGTATATAAAAGATAATGTATAACTTCCGATACATTCATAATGATATGGATATCAATTGCAAAATTTCAATGGTTAAAAACATATCAATAGAAACCTTTTATAAGAAATTTAAATTATAGATATTTACAAATGGCTTCTTCTAATGTACCGGTATTATATATTGGCCAGGGGATGATTTGTAATAAACGTGTACCTCGCTCAAAACTCAAAAATTCGTTATCTATAGATCTATAAAATATACATACAGTTTATTGTTTTCCTATTCAAACCTTTGGAATATTTAATTCCACATGCACAATCAGTAAAGGATCAAATGTTGTAAAGTATTGAATTAAACAACGAATTACACTTCCCGAAAAAGTTTTAACATTCCATGTCAATAGCGTTTCCTCAATTTGATAGAACTGCTAGTCTGTGTTAGCCAATTTTGTTATTTCCATTTAAGAAGAAATTGTACTTGGATGATAGAAAAATTACGAATACGGACTGATATATTTTCCCAAAATATTAAATGGTCGATCGGTTTTAACAACGTTTTAATTTTCGTGGATTAGTATACACGTTGTTCACCAAATACCACTCAGAAGCAGGAAAAAGAATAAAAAGTAAGATTAAATTTAGTAAGAATTCAAATATAATGAATTAAATATGCATTGGTTTAAAAAAAACACTACTTTATACACATATTTTACATTACATAATACCATTGCGTATGAAACTTTGTCAGGCTAAATACATAGGCTCATTTTGATGTGTAACGTAGCTCCATCAGAGCTTTCCTATAATATGTTAATGCACCCAACAGGAACGCATGTTTTAACTGATTAACTTTCTAATTGCTTATCCGCATCGGTTTAAATTAATTTCTATAGTAAAATTTGAGTGAATGTGTTATAATTATGGTTTTCCATTTTAGAGAGAAGACACAGATAAATTATAAAAATGATGAGATTGAACGGTATGTGTCATTTTTATCAAAAGTTCATAATAAATTCCATGCACAGACTCACTGTACATTTACTGTTTGTTTAAATAACATCTCCCTAGACATATTGTGTTTGCCTTCACTGTTCGCCTGTCGATCCGTCTGACTGTCCGTCCGCTCTTGCGTCTGCTCCGTCCATCGGCATTAAGCTTGCTGGTCTTCCGCAGGAAATCGACGATGCTTCACAGGATTTATTCACATTGATTGATCAACCCAAGTAGTTTATTCAGCCGGAATGTTTCGTTTCGCTGCACACAGTTGCCGCCTGAGTTAAAAAAAAAAAACAACAACAAAAACTAGAAAAAATGTGTCCAGGTTTAACACTGGATTCTGACGAAACTTCAAAGGATTCAAGCTGTGCATACTGCAAACACGTTCCGCACAAAATAGCCACCAGGGCTAAATTTTAAAAAAATGTTCGACTTTCTCGGGTCAAATTGTGGGCTTGATTTTGACGAAAACGTTACAGGACTAGTTTTGCATATTGATGGTACGTTCGACTTCGCCGAACAAAATTGCTAAGAATAAAACAGAAGTGACCGTTGAATATATAAAAATATTAAAAAAAAACATTTTGGATTTCGCAGGTGATATTTCTGAGGGTTTCTGTTTTTGGAAAAATTGTAAATGTTTCTGTTCTATGAAATTACATATATTAACAGTCGATGTCGTGATATACAGTTTAACCTCGATTATTTTAAAGTGTTGGGCCTGAAAATTTTCTTACAATTATCGATGGGTTCGGGTAATCGAAATCCGAATATAGTGATAGACGACAACTATTCAACTTTTCTAATACGCCAATCATAGCAAAAGTACCGTTTGTAAAACACTTGTTTACTTTAAACAATCGGAACAAGTAAATAAACAACAAAAGATGTGTAAAAAATATATTTTATTAGTACTGAATACATTAAATTGCATTTTTATTCCCCAATATGTAACACATATAACGTGTACTGTGGATATGAAAATTATCGCTGTCATCCTAAACCAGTAACAACTTTGAAAACGGTGCATAATTTTTATCATGAACAAAATACATGTCCACAACAAGAATATTTTGTTCTATAGGGCATAATGCACTGATTTAAAATATATTTTTTGGCAGTATTTATATACTTTACTAAAATTGTTTATTTTCATGTTTTAATTTATATTATTAAATTGAATACTTTAAACCGTCCAATAATTAATACAGAAATCACTAGCATGCAAATGATTTTCGGTAATGAAAGTTAATTCAAAACACGCGTAATAATCATACACTCATGGTTGTTAGAACATTTTCACAAGTTTTGACGGTCAGCAAGTAGTTCAGTGGCAATAAAAATCTGGAAACAAAGTGATCCATCGGAAGCATTAATCGCAACAAAATAACGTGAAAATTGCAGGCTCTGTTTGATAGAGTCTCTACTGAGAGATAATGAATACGTGCATCATCCCACACGCCCCATAGCACCGGCTTGAGCCATACTCAATTCTCAACACTTAATAGTGCTGATATAAATGAACCCGAAGGACCAGAAAAATATAACAACACTGAAGTGAAGTACGGGGCAACTTTTTACAGCTGCCACACAGCACTTGACTCCTGCTATTGTGAAGTACTTAAATCTGGAAACAAAGTGATCCCTCGGAAGCATTAATCGTGAAAATTGCAGACTCGGTTTGATTGTGTCTGTACATAATAATAATAATTCTGGCTTCGAATAATAAAAGTGAAATTCTGTCATAATTGTCTAATCAGAACCGAAATTTTACTTCGAAAAATAGGAGGTATTTAAATAATTAGGTTTATGTAATCTTTGCAGTGATTTGCATACATTGTGTTATGAATTTAAATAACGAAACACAGGCTATTTATCCAGCTATACACGTTGTTGAGTTAAGCACATTGTCTAAAATATGTGATATCAGTTGATCGCCAAGCTGCTTATAAAACTTTTAAAATAGAGAAAAACAGAATCCCTAAAGAAAGTCCAACACAACAAAATTGAAAATTTTGCAGGCTCGGTTTGATTGAACCTGTTCATGGACGGAAGTGATATGTGTAAGCTACATTCCACGCCCCCTAGCACTGGCTTAAGCTGAAAAGCAGAATTTAATATTTCTCTAAGAAAATGGTGAAATTTTGAATTTAGAAACATTCGCAGATGTGTTCATACGGAGGTTATCATGGAATCTTCAATGTGACACAGGAGTGCCATTCTATGAAAAGCGGCGTATGGTCCCCAAGTAAAAGAATGCTTTTGCCCTAAACGAGAAAACAATGGGTGGAACTAAATAAAATGGAATTTAGAAAGGGGATCTGAGGTTATGAAGCCTGCATATCACAAATAAGACGTCAAAAAACCAATTTAAAAATCAGGCAACATATCCTAAGGGTGATTATACAGTATACAAGTAGGAATACTGGAACCACCCAAGTTGAAAATGGCCAAATAGAAGAAACTAAAAGTACCACGTAACATGTATACACAACAATAATGTCGTGCTGAACGATCTTCAAGGATCGAAAATATAACATCATTGATTAAATGTACGGGGATACTTTTTACAGCCACCACATGGCACAAATAGCACGGATGTGACAATAAAATAGAGAAAAACGGACTCCCTAAAGAAAGTCCAACACAACAAAATTGAAAATGTTGCAGGCTCGGTTTGATTGAGCCTGTTCATGGACGGTACTGGAAAGTGCAACTTACCGTCCACGCCCCCTAGCACCGGCTTAAGCAGAATTCAACATTTAACACGAAAATGGTGAAATTTTTCGGAAAATGATGAGGATATTGGGAGAACTAGCATTTTAAGACATATTGGGTATACTTAACTTACTAAGCAACAACTTAGATGAAAAAAATCTGGAAACAAAGTGATCCCTCGGAAGCATTTATCACAACAAAATTACAACATAATTGCAGACTCGGTTTGATTGAGTCTGTAGATAAGGGATAATGAATACGTGTAACATCCATGAAGATCCACGTGCATCCATGAGGACAGTTCATATGAATACGGAAATTGAACAACATGATTAGTGGAAGACAAATGTTCTAAAATAGATAAATACAGCCTTCCTCCTATCTTTTGGCAAGAGGCATAGTTATGGCTCAGATGAAGGATGACACAAAACGTTTTTGTGTCGATAACAGAAAATTAAATGATTTAATGACAAAGGATGCCTAACCTTTGTCCATAATTGACGTTGTTTAGGTCAATTCTGGAGCCAAATGGTTTCCCTGTGTAATAGTTTTTGTAGTTTGATATTTTTTTTTAACATGTAAAAATATATATAAAGGGAAATAATTACTTCAAATATAATTGTTGAGTATTTACATTCTACATTAAAATAAAGGGAAATAATAATAAACATTTCATTTTCAAATTAAACATAGCTTTGATATTAAATTGTTTTTGTAATTGTTAAAACAGTATATTATTATGAAATTCTGATGATTGGTTAAAAATTTGATAAACTTTGAGAAATTTTAAAACCATGTTAAACATTATATTGTGAGTTAAATATAAACTCCTGTCTGCATTACTGTAATCGGAGGATTTCTAATTGGATTGGACATAAGTATTAAGTATATTGTTACTGGTCTTAAGTTTGAGGTAAGGTAATGGTAAGAAGCCTGAGGAAAGTTAATAGTAACACCTCGATAGGCTATACTGCCACTGATGAAGTTGTACTAATTAACACTTCAGACATTATATATTTGATGAAATTGTTAAATTGTACTTTGGGAATATTTATGTATTATAAATGAAATTTAATCTTATTGCACAAAATTAAATGTCATTAATTTGATCTGTTTTGTTGTTACTGTTGCTACATTAGGCCCAGTGCTCGAACCATTCGGGGCTTAGGTCACCCCGCAAACTAATTTGGCTTGATTTACATTCTGGTTATTGGCAAATAGAGATTGTAAAAGAGGACACTGAATTGATATATGTGTCTTATTTTATTAGATAATATCATTGTAACTGGAAAAAATGCACAGAAGTAAATGAAAATCTAGAAAATGTTTTAATTAAAATAAAAGATGCTAAATGAAAACGGATAGAATTAAAATAAAAAATATCAGATATTTTCAAAGGAATAAAACTTTTTGGTCATAAAGTAAGACATTTATACTTGACACATATATAAGTAATGTTATAAATTCTATCGCACGTTATGGATGAGAAAGAATAATTGCTAGCAGGACTCAAATAAAGGCTGAAAGAATATACGTGTGATAAAAGTATATATAGTTGTTTTAAAGTACTACATTTTCTATATTGTAATCTATTGTATGAAGAAATAATCTCGGACACATTATATGTTATCAATTCACACAGCAGCTTTAATGTGTAAAATCTGACAAATACTTTTTTATATGTCAATAAAGAGGAAACGTAAAAAAAATGTTTCATACTTATCCATACAGTTTAAAGAGCCAGCTACAAAAAGCACAGCGCCAACTCAAAAAAGCAGAGGAAAGAATTAAAGCATTTCAGGATGAGGTAACTGGCTTGAAGAAGGATCTATGTGCCCGCCCTCTTGTAGATCCTGACAGGTAAATAGAAAGTAAAAATGTATATGAATATCAGTATACTTATATTAATTGCAACATTATTCTAATGTTCTGAAGATGTTATTACAATTTTATTACAAGTAATACATGTAAGTGTCATACTGACTGCGTTATTATTTACTTTTATTAACTTAACAAAAGTAGGGTGTGAAATAGAAAAGCCATACGAAAATCGTCAGTTAAAATAATTTCCGCTCAACAACAATAGCTTTAATGATTTCCCTGACTAAGAATCGGAGCAATATATTTTAAACGGCATACGTGACAAATTCCTATGCATCAAAGCTCCAAACCAATGTTAAGTAGACGATAAATACCGCTAAGTCCGGTATTGTTCCTTAAACAACTTAACTAAGCATTTCGCTAAATGTATGTGTCTATCCTTAAAAGGTACTTTTTAAGGTCGGACCAATCAAATACAATAGTACATGATGAACAATGTTTGTTAAATACAGGCTCAGCCAGCGTTCTTTTTCCCCGACAATAAAATAATTAATTAAAAGAGTGTTTTGCTTCATAGTCTTATAAAAATTTACACACTTGAGAAAGGGATATAAATATCGAAGACTGGATTCGTCCTCTTATATTTGGACACGTTTGCGTAAAAAAAGGGCATTAGACATTTTTGAAATTTTACCAATTGAAGAATTTGTCATTTGTTGTGGTGATGAAATTTATAAAGCTTTTAATGTCTATAGATAGAATTACTAGGCTACTAATTACTCTTTTTGTTGTTCTTAGTTTTCTCAGGAGTTCATGGGGAAAATCTAATTGTCAGGATGACACCATCCTTTGAATGCAAAGGGAAAAGAAACACAAATGTTAAATAAGTTTAAATCAACTAAATTTTAATAAACTAAGTTTTTATTTACTCTTAACTAAAAGTTGCTTAAAGCTGAACAAGTTTACAATAATCACTTTTATATATGCTGTTCTGATTTAACCAAAAATATGAAAATCAGAATAAAGTAGTTGAATAAAAGATTTAAACCAGTTGAAAGTTGTTTAACATGTAATAACTGAAAATATTTAAAATAACCCTAATGACTCTGTGCTATAAAACTAATGAATCTGCACAGTAGCAAGCCCTGTTTTAATCTATATCAACCAAAATTTAGATCTATTTATTCAAGATGGCTGCTACTTAGAACAAAGAAAGATATTAATTTATTTTAATAAATTCTGTAAACAATGATAAAAAATGTTGTAGTGACTTTAGATAATCTGTAAGGTTTATTTAAATGCCAAAGTGGCTAAAAAAAATTAAATAATTATTTAATTAACCTTAGAGAGCTTTTAGAGATGTTACTTTTCAATAAATTAGCAGCAGAATTTCAAAATTGTGTAAAGTGCCTCTATTTATGCACACTACTTGGAATCAGAACTTTGTGTGGAACCAGTAAAATGCAGAACTGTTCTGATCGGTCAAGAAATTTAAGCTTACCAGAGTTCATAAGGGCTTTACATATCTATCCTAAAAATTGATTATAATTCATGGAAAAGTTTGCAATAGTATCAATTGACCTTGATTATTATAATAATAAAGTTTTGCAAAATATTTGTAACAATAAAACTAGTAACTAATATCAATTAAACATACGAGGGTTGTCCCAATATTCTGTGACAAGTTTGTTTAAAAGCTAACTAAAATAGGTACGAATTTGATATTTCAATATGTTATAAAATAGATAAATACAGACTCCCTAAAGAAAGCCCAACACGGCAAAATTGAAAATGTTGCAGGCTCAACCCATACTATTGAAATATTTTCACAAACTTACATAGAAAAATCACAACAGACAACAAACATAATTATGCCGTAAATACCATGGCAACTATCAAAGACGGCGTTAAATCTATATAAGGTGCCTTTCTCAAATACTCGCAATGGCTTTCAACGCAAAAATGGTGCAGCTTTACCCATAAATTGTCAAAAACAAACTTAAATTATGTGGTTGTTAAAGTCTGTTGAATGTTTGGATTGCATACATTAATTTTGGTACACGCGAACATTCGGCCTGGTTGCACCTGCTTTTAGCTGTAGGAAATAGGCGATGGAGATCGGTCTTCCTATTCACGCTTTCCTTGTGTTTGCTTTTAGTAGCGCAGAATTCTGGTTCCGTTCATTCCTTTAGTAAACAAATGCTCAGGATATTTTGCTAAGCAGTTCTATTTTGTATATGTGTTGAAAATCGTAACATGATTCATCTCGAATAGTCACGAAACCTGAATGACCTGTTCACTGCGCCGCAAATTTTTCGAACGTCGCCATTTTAACTTTTCTATTCTCTTTGAGATATTTTCATTTATCCGTAGCCTTTTCGCTTCTTAAGTTATGTAAATAAGATTTTCTGAGATGATGTAAATATAGCAGCAGAGGAAGTCAACGTGGCATTGTGTAGACACATCATCAGATATTTGAATTGTAAGAAATAAATTTTAGCCTATTCATAACAAAATACAAATCGTTTGACGTGCGCCGGCAACTCAATCCAATGTCGTTAATACTGAAAATGTCTAAGTAACTAGAGTAAATATTTTGTAAAAAATTATTGTAATGTTAAAGAATAACCTTAACGATTATATGTGTGAATTATTATCTATTGGCGTTAAATATGAACCGTCCATAAAATTTGTCACGGACTTTTGGGACAACCCTCGTATTTACATACATACATAAATCATGCAAATGCTAAATAAACAATATGTATTTCACTTAGTTTAAATGCCAGTGTAATTGAAAGTAGAACAATTCTATATATATATATTGTATGTAAAGAGTCCTAGAGCATGCTAAATTACAGTTAGTGTATCAATGAGTTCTACAAACTGTAATCAACATTAAACTAATGAATGATAGGAATGAAATGTCTATAGAATAAAATGCATGTTCAATATGATTAATCTAAGTTAAAGTTTAAACCCTTAATATTCCTTGAAAAATATGTATGAAGATTATATATGATTAACTTATTGAATAATATTATGCAACATTATGTAATGATTATATAACCTGTTGTAGTTGGAATCCAACTTTACAACGCATTTAATAAAACAGTTATCTATACATATCCAAAATGTTTTTTTTTGGCATATTAGCCTTTGAATAAAAGATTTGTGATAAAATAACATTTATAACTAATATACTTTGCAGAACGGCAAATGAGATTTTTATAGATTTCTTCATTATAACCTACAACTTTGTTTTCCAGGAAAGCGAAAACACAACAAAAAATATGTTCGCTTCAAAAATCCCTGAATGAAAAAGATGAAGTGATAAAAAAGCATTCCGAGTAAGAGTTATATTGTTTCTCGCAGCTTTATTATTTATATTTAAATAAAATAACACATTAAAGAGATCTCATTAATCTTTTTACATGTATCGAAACAGTAAACGTGTGTTTACGGTTTAATTTCAGCATTTTCTTACTACTTTTAAAAAGAATAAAATGTAAAAACTGCCTAAGAAATAAAAATAAAAAGACTGCATTGTTTTTACAGTACCTATATTTTTCAAAGGATGTAAATAGATATAAACGGGCTATTGAATACTAAGGTGACGTGTTTTATAAAATAAAAAACAAATACTCGTATAACAAAATGTAAACTTATTTTATGTGAACTCTCACCATTAATATAATATCACGTTTACATATCTTTCAATTTATATCATGTCTATAAAAAGACATAAATGTATGACAAAAACACATCTTAAAAAGTTTATCAATATGAGGGCCATAATAGCACCGATTCGCTCCCCAGAATGAACCGCTTTTCAGTGTTGGAAAAAAGTTTTCAAATGACAGGCAAGTTTAGTTCTTTTGGCAAGATCAGCTCAACTTAAAGTGGCCCCTGTAGTAATATATACTTTCACAACACTGGCTGTTTTTCCCTCTTTTTCTTCATAATAAACAATAAGGCCACTAAGATGCTGCCCCTAGATCACTCATCTAACCCATCATTCCAATTATTCACTATATAAATTGAAATAACCTAATATTTTGGGAATACTTTGTTAAAAATATTTATGTTGCAAGTGTGTACCTACGATACTATGTAGAATAAATGCAGAATAAATGACCACTAGAGCAGGGTTAATTTTGAAAGGACATTTCTTTTATAACTTTTGTGAATGAATACACAAAATGTCACATGCAAAATATGTAAGGTGCAGATATTTACAGTTGGGAATAAGACTTTTTTATACATTCTATATGGTAACATTACTGTACCTAAAAAAGACAAAAGGTCAAAAAGTGTTATAAGTATCGCAAGTAGGCTAGCTGATATCAAAATTCAACTCTGCATCAGAAATTACACCCCCAGTACAAATTTAATTTCTGTACGGCATAAAGCAAAAAAGTAGGTCAAATTATATAAATAATATCATAAGTAGGTCAGCTATTAACAAAATTCAATTAGCATAACAAATTACACCCCTGGTCCAAATTAAAAGTTTGTACGTGACATAACAAGAAAGTTAGTCACGTTGTATCACAAATATCAGATTAGGTCAGCTGCTATCAAAATTCAATTTTTCCTCCGCAATTATTGCACCCATGGTCCAAATATTTCAAGTCTGTATGTAAAAAAACAAACAAGAGAGTAGGTCAAATGGTGTCACTACTATCTAAAGTAGGTTTGTTGATATCATAATTCAATTCAATATCAAAAATTACCCACTTAGTCTAAATTTCAAGTCTGTATGTAAAGAAATCAAGGAAGTAGGTAAAATGATATCATTAATAGATCAGATTTTATCAAAAATTGATTTGACATCATAAATTACACCCATGGTTTAAATTCCATGTCTGCACATCAAAAAACAAGAAGTTGGTAAAATGGTTTCATAAATATTCGTAACAGCTCAACTGTTACCAAAATTCAATTATGCACATGAAACTTCAGGTTCAACAGTATGTCCAAAAATTTATTGAAATGTGCTTTGTCCAAATTTAAATTCAATTCAACAAAATAAAAACACACAATTTTAAACAAAATGCATTGAAATAAATGAGCATACAAACTTATCTTTGTTAGCTAGGTTCAGGACACAAATGTAATCTTTATTTTTGCCTAATTTTATTTCCTGATTCTGATCACAACTGACCCTACAATGATGCAATATCGTGTCTAAATTCTAGAGCTGAAAACTTTTTACACTTTATTTTATTGTTATCTAGCCTAACAGGATTGCACTTGTGAACACTAAATAGTACCAGAAATATATTTGTTGAATATAATCGGACTTTGCCACAGTGCAATAGTGTCTAGTGAATTCTTATTTAGCTTGTCAAATGAAAGACAATGTGCAGATATGTTTACTGTTCAGATACAAAGCACATAACCTAAAATCATTTCAAAAGCAAACAGGTCATGACATTAAGACTTTCTCCCAGCTTGAAAAATTGCATAACCATAACATGTAGACATGTATGGAAGACATTCCAACATGAGTTGTTTCCCTTTCATTATTAAAGATATAATATGCTCATCCTTGAGTAAAATATTTCTATCGTAGAAATTTATTTAAATCTATGAAATTCTCACTGAATATGTCTAATTTGGATGAAAGAATGTATGGGAAACCGCATTCCCTATCATTGGACACGTAAATTTGTTTTTTCTATAAAAAATCAGCCAGTTCTTTTAATGACCCTATATATTCAAATCACATGGGTGTAAATTGAAAATATCAGAAAACATGAAACCCTGAATTGAGTATTATTACAATTGTTTTATATAGCAAAAGAGAGCTTTCAAGAGTAGAAAAACCTGAACTTCAGGCAATCTTGATACTATGACCACCAATAGTGTGAAGAGTTTAAAACATTACATATCTACCTTGTGTTAAATTTATTATACCCCCGAAACGAAGTTTTTGGGGTATATAGGAGTCACTCGGTGGTCGGCGGATCGGTCGGTCGGTCGGTCCAGCCGTCCGTTGCATTTTCCTTGTCCGGAGCATAACTTGAAGACTAATGGTTGGAATTCAATACAACTTCAAACAATGGTCAAGCACATTAATAGAAAGTGCAGTGCACAAGAACCATAACTTCATCTTGGCTAATAGCAGAGTTATTTGCCTTTGTTACTTTTCCTTGTCCGGAGCATAACTTGTAAAGTACTAGTTGGAATTCAAACAACTTCATACAATGATCAAGCACAATAAGGGAATATGCATTGCACAAGGACCATAACTTTATCCAAAGTAAGTACAGAGTTATTGCCCTTTGTTACTTTTCAATTGCTTATTGTTTCCCGGGCATAACTTGAAGACTAATGGTTAGAATTCAAACTTACTTTATACAATGATCAAGGACATTAAGGGAAAGTGCAGTGCAAAAGAACAATAACACCATTTTGACAAAATACAGAGTTACTGCCCTTTGATACTTTTCCTTGTCCGGAGCATAACTTATAAAGTACTGGTTGGACTTCAAAACAACTTCTTACAATGGTTAAGCACAATTAGAGGATGCAAAGTGCACAAGAACAATAACTCTGTCCAGAGTAATTAAAGAGTTATTGCCCTTTGTTACCTTTTCATTGTTTTTTTCTTCTCCAGAGCATAACATGAAAACTACTAGTTGGAATTCAATACAATTTCATAAAATGGTCAAGTATGTTGTGGGAAAGCGCTTTGCACAGAACTAACTTTGTTACTTTTTATTGACCAGTGCATAACTTGAAAATATGGTTGGAATTCAAAGAAACTTCATACAATGGTAAAGGGCAGTGAGATGATGTGCAGTGCGCAAGAACCAAAACTCTATTTGGATTAATTACAGTTATTGCCCTTTGTTACTTTTGTCCAGTGCATAACTTGAAAACTAGTAATTTGAATTCAATACAACTTCATACAATGGTTAAGCGCAATGAGAGGAAGTGCATTGTACAACAATTACCATAGCTACATCTTCAGTATTTGTAGAGTTATTGCCCTTTGTTCCTTTTCCTTGTCAGGTGCATAACTTAAAAAAATAATGTTAAGAATTCAATGAAACTTCATTCAAAGGTCAAGCACAAGGAGAGGAACTGCAGTGCTTAAGAAGCGTAACTCTTTTAAAACTTACTACAGAGTAATTCAATAAAACTTCATCAATGGACAACCACATTGAAAGGAAATGCAACATACAAGAACTACAACTATCTTTAATTACCCACAACCATAACTCTATTTCAGTTCTTTTACAAGGTATTCTGTTAATAGTAATTTCCTCATTTCCGAAGCAGTCTTGCGGGGATATTAATCACATTTAGTGATAGGTCTAGTTTAATATTAATAAAGAGACTGTTTATCCATGGTCAGTATTTTCTAATATTAAATTTGCGAATAGAATATCTTTAAATTGAAATTTAAAGAAATGCCATGGCCCGAGGCATTTAGGCTTAAGCGGCCCCTAACAGGGGCCAATCAAAAAATATGAGCATCTTGATAAAACACTACCTAAGAATGATACAGACAAAATTTGGTGATTGTCCATCAATAAGTGATGTAACATGAGACGTTTAAAGATATTTATATTTTTAGCTTAAGCGGCCACTAAAGGGGACAATCAAATTAATATGAGCAAACTTGATAACTGACTACCTAAGACTGCTACAGACAAAGTTTGGTGATCATCCATCAATTAGTTCTATAGAAGCAGGCGTTTAAAGGCATTTCTATTTTTAGCTTTACCGGCCCCTAAAAGGGACCAATCAAATAAATATGAGCAAACTTGATAAAACACTAATTAAGAATGCTACAAACAATGTTTGGTAATCATCCATCAAATAGTTCAGTAGAAGGAGACGTTTAAATTTATTTCTATTTTTAACTTTAGCGGACCCGTAAAGGGGCCAATCAAATTAATATGAGCAAACTTAATAAAATACTACCAACGAATGCTACAGACAATGTTTGATGATCATCCATCAATTAGTTCTGTAGAAGAAGTTTTGTAACGGTTTTTGTTTCTATTTGTAGGTCTAGAGACCTTTAAAAGAGGCCAATAAAATTAAAATGAGCAAATTTGATACAATACTACCTAAGAATGCCACAGACAGATTTTAGACATCATCCATTATTTAATTTAGTAGTAGAATATGTTTTAAAAAATTATATGGTTTTAGCACTGTTGACCACTAAATGGGACCAATTAAAATGGCATGATGATTGTTGAAGCATGACGACGGACGCCGGATTATCCCCCTTTGATAGTAATAGCTAACCCTTGTCCTCCGGTTTGTGTGAGCTAAATAACACGAATATTTAGGAGAAAATGTAAAAACCGCCTTCGAAATTGTCTGTTACAATGGTTACCATGCGGCAAGTATGACTTAGAATGGTAACCACTCGGTCAAGTCGCAACTACTTTTATACCTTTATTGTGATAATGTGATTTATATGAGTAAACATAGGTTGATAGCGTATACCTGATAAAATTGTTATTTTTCTTATTCAGGAAAATCGGCAAAGTGAACAGTGAAATCGACAAATTGAGCACGAAAATCGGCAAATTGAAAAAAGAAACCAACGAAAAGAAAAAACGGTATGGTATTATAGTTTGGGAAATATAGTAATCTTAGCTTATCTGAGCACGTAGTGCTTAATGAGAGCCCTTCCTTAATTGTTTGGTAGACTCTATACACCAATGATTTTTAGCTTGAACTAAACAGAAATAACACAAATGGTTTGGGTCCTTTGACCTAGATCAGCACCAGAGCTAAAAATTAAAAAGGTGTTAAGTGACATATTGTTCTCTATAATGAAACTCTACAGGAATGTTTATTAGGCAGTCCTTAACTAAAATGCTAATATTGATCCGAGATGGTCGTCAGTGCTCAAAATACAAAGTCCTTTCAATGACATCTCTTAATTAACTGTTGAGTAGACTTTGATGTAGCATGAAAGGAATTGTCGTTGGATGGTCGTCTATAATAAATGCTCTATTGGTTAGGGTCTGCAAAACAAAATGGTCGTCCGAGCTCAAAATAGAAAATTAAAGAATTATTCAACATTTTGTCCTCAACCGCCCGATAAAATTGTAGACAAAACTATAGGAATAATAAATTGGGCAGTCCTTTACTAAAGTTGCTGAAATTTTACCGGTGTGCCGAATAAAATTTCGGCTGTCAAAGCTAAAAATAGGAAAAAACTTCATTCAAGTAAGCAGACGTAACCCTGAATGACGAGACATTGTCTTTCAAATTCTCTTGTTCAATTTGAGCATCACGATAAACCAAACTGAACCATATAAGTCTTAGTCTTAAAAACAGGTCTCTAAACTTAATGGTTCAGGTTAACAGAAACTAAATTGCATCATCTTTTGGTTTAAATGGTGCTAATGGAAACTGTCACTTATTTCATCGACCTACCATGTGCATGTATGTTTGTGTGTATGTGTGTGTGTGTGTGTGGGGTGTGTGTGTCTGTTTGTCTGTCTGCATTCCAGGCCAAAGTGGGGGCCCACCCGTCCTTTCAGGCACAGTGTCAAAGCGCATGACCTCAAAGGTGCCACATCTGCTAAAAGTGACCTGCTTAAATTTTGTATTCAGTAATTTCCTGAATTATACAAAACATTTCTATGTCGGTTTGTGTGATGTTTACTACTTTATTGCCCGGAAGGCCAATGAGACCATGGATAATTCATGGAGAGAAAAAAGTCATATATTTCGGACTGATAAGATTTAACATCAAGGACTGGTACCTGACAAATGTAAAGTCGAACTTAATACAAATCATATACATTTGTATAGAGCTTCATTAAAGCAACAATCTTTTTTGATATTTCCAGATTTCCAAATCGCATTTCCATGGCAAACTGCGTGACACAATTGTTTATTATTTTTTAGTACTTCTTCTTCTTTTTATACACCCTAAAATGTCAGCGTCTGTTGTAATTTATATGGTTGTCCGTGCATTTGTCCGTCCGCCCGTTGGTAAAAAATCATGTGCCCGGTCTGTTTCTCTTGAACCGATAGAAGGAAAATAAAACTACTAGGCAGAATTGGAGCCATTATGAGACGATGTGCAGAGCGAAGGGTTGACCTTTATTAGGTCACACATATGTCATGTATGAATTTAAAATCACCGTGTCCGGTCTATATCTTTTGAACTGATGGTAAAAAATTAAATCTATTCAGAAGAAATGTCACTTATAAAGAAACGATGTGAAAAACCCATGTTATAACCTTCTCAATTGGTTTTGCCATGGGGTCACTGTATTTATCTTGGCTTTATTTCACAACAGTAGGTGTTAAGAGCTGTGTGGCAGCTGTAAAATGTTGCCCCGTACTTCACTTCGGTGTTGTTATATTTTTCTGGTCCTTCGGGATCATTGATGCCAGCACTATTAAGTGTTGAGAATTTAGTACCGCTCAAGCTGGTGTTAGGGGACGTGAGAGATGTTGCACTTATTCATTATCCCTCATGTACAGACTCAAGCAAACCGAGTCTACAATTTTCAAGTAATTTTGTTGTGATTAATGCTTCCGAGGGAGGGATCACCTTGTTTCCAGATCTTTATAAAAGAACATATACATGTATAATCTATGCATGATACATAATAATCTTGTAAATATAAATTATATTGTTTTATCTAACTCACTTACATGCATGTACATTTCAAGCTTCATGTATTTTTAAAACCAAGACAGGTAGGTACGATAGTTAAGACATTTTGTTCTATTTGATTTTTTGTTCGATAGTTAAGCTTAAGAACAGTATATAAATGATTTGTAACAGCAAACATCATCCTCTCTAATAGGCTAGAATTTTCTGACATTCCCAAAATGATTACGTGTTTCTTCATGAAATTGACACAAAGTACACAGTATTTTAGTCTTATGTATTTAAACAACGGTGCTAAGAGCATAGTACATATTTGGTATGTAGCATAAACTTAAAGACCTCAACAAAATTGATATATATCATACCCCTTTAGGCCAAATATTTGCATCGCCGCGGGTGTCTCTTAGTTGATATAAACGTATATGGTAAAATATATTTAGATTTTTATGTGTGAAACTAAAACGCAATGTTTTGTTGACTTTAACAAAAGTGTGTCATAAATCTTGACCCTAGGCTAAGGATTGGTACAACTCTCGGGGTCAATTACTTTATGTTGACTTATTAACATATCTTAAAAGTATTTACTCCTATACTACAAAGGCACGTAGCATTATATTGGCATGTAACATTACTTTCTAAGTAATATAAACCATGACCCCGAGGTCCAACCCTAGCCCGAGGGTCACTGCCTTATGTAGATGTTTGTTTTACCAAACACATTGTATGTTTTTGTTGAAAACTAGTGTGTTCAGAGCTTGTGCATTTGACATGTTGCATTGCCTAATACTCCTCTTTAAAAGTTCTATTAATCTTTCACCTGGGGTAAAAATGCACCCACAAAGGATGGTGGTTATTCAGTATGGTTATTCAGTATTATAAGGATAATTAAGATAAGACATTTTGGCTTAGTCCATAAATAAATGTATCTCTTCCTTAATTGAATTTGTTTTTCTATTATTCAAGCAAACTTTAGTTAAGGCGTTTATTGCACCCCGTCCTTTGCGGTGCTTTTGTTTTACTGGAATGGAATTTACTTATGTCATCCTTAATTTCTTAGCCGTAGATTTTGTGATGCGATGAATGATATGGTGAATTGCGTTTTTATTAAATATTTTTAAACCAAATCACGTTTGTCTTTTTAAATAAAATTGAAGCTTTTTCTTGTCATTATTATCACGCCCTATGAGTATGAAAGCTTAGATATTTACCATGTTGTATTGCATAACTGACCTTTACAAACACTGACTTATTTCAATTTTGGTCCCGCCTGTAACATCACGGAAAAAGTGGAAGACTATAAGCAGAAAAAAATTGAGAAGTGTAGAAGGGAAATTTAAAATTGATAACAAGAATAAAGATCAACAAGGCAAAGGCAACGTTCACAGGACGCCGCCTGATAAGTCAAATTTGAAATAATTCAATTTGGAACAATAATATTATAGTTGTTTTGTGAAATAAACTGTAATCATTAAGTTCGCCTTCTACTGCTCAAATGTATATTTAGGAAATATATTTGTTATAACAGAGCACGGTATTGAGTTCAGATGCCCAGTTATATAATCACAAAGACATTGATCCTGAATGATAAATTACAATTCAACACTCCTATTGATTTTGTCACTATACACAAAGAGGAAAACAAAACACGATTTGAAACTGCCAATAAGCATTTTTATTGATATTTTACATTAATAAAATGTTTTCTTTTTAAATAATGCTAAACGAATATATTTCACAAGAGTTATGCCTCTTTCACTTTGAAAATAATATGAAATTTTCAGTTTTAGTTTCCGTTCATTATCTCCCCAACGGTATTACACATTTAATTTAAATTTGGCATATGGATATGTCAACGGAATGCGCAGGTCAAGTTCGAATCTGGTCATGGTTCGATGATTTTGGCGGTAATGTCCCTTTCACTTTGAAAGTAATATGAAATTTTCAGTTTCGGTTTATTATCTCCTCTAGGGTATTACACATTCAACTCAAATTCGACATATGGATACGTCAAAGAAATGGGTAGGTTAAGTTCATGGTTCAATGATTGTTGGCAGAGTTATGCCCTTTTAACTTTGCAAAAAGCAATAATGTTTCAGTTCCCATTCATTATCTCCCCCAACAGTTGTACATATTCAACTCAAATTTAAAATATGGTTAGGTCATAAGAATGCACTAGTCAATTTCGAATTTGGTCATTGTTTGATGATAGCTGACAGAGTTATCCCTCGAAATCACATTCAACTCAACTTATAGATATATCTTAGGAATGAGGAATTAAAGATTGAGTTTGGTCGTGGATCAATGATTTTTGACAAAGTTATCTCTCTAGAATGTTGGAAAAATTTTGAATTTTCAGTTTCAGTTGTTTACTTTTGTGGAATGTAAAACTATGTAGCCATTTTTTGGCTACAAACATGCAATATGCAATTTACAAAAGGTTAACACTGAATAATTTCAGTGCCTTGAACTTTGTATAAAAATGGTTTGTGTTAACATTGAATAAGTTTATGGGCTTTGAACTTAAAATGAAAAAATATAGTCCACACAAATTTGGAACTAAATTTTATAACATATGAAATTTTGCCTGCTTACGTGGGTATTAGTGGCGTGACGACACATTTGTAGTTTTTATAGTGACTTTAGTGTGGGACATCGCATATCGCACAGCGTGAGTAAATCGGCAGCCTAAGTAATCTCTGCTTAAAAAGTAGTATTAGTGTTCCTCCTTAAATTGTCTTGTTAGAATTGAAATAATATCGGTCTGGGTGTTGCTAAGACTGATATAATTTCTTAAACATCTAAACAACATACCGTGCTATATTATAACACAGAGCACTCAAAATCAAGATCTATTTCAATTCTTGCACGTCAAGAAAAAAATAAAGTTGAACTAATTTTTTGGTGTTTATATTTGTTCGCCTTAAAGTTTGTTATAACAACATTCTTTAAAGGGTTTTCCAGTCGGTTGAAAACCAAAACTGTCGTTACATTTACTGTTTGCACAAATATTATGAGAATAAAAACATTTGAATACGCTCATAACGTTTTTGTGTATTTATCTTATTTTTTTATCAAGCGAAAAACTGATTAATTATAGTGAAATAAAATAAATATATTACTTTTTAGAAACTTTGAAATAGGGCTCTCTTTGACGTTTTTTTTGTACGCACGGTTTGGCGCTGCATTGTGACATCACCTAAACAAACTAGCGTCGTCATTGCGTCGGTTTGCAAATACTGCGGGAGGAAATAAGAACGGCTAGTGTATCTACTTAGGGGATAGACATCAATTCTGAGTGCACTGTTGTAGAATAATCAATGCACAGTTTTAGTTCAAACTCTCCTATCCCGACATCAACCACGTTATTTTGTCTACTTTTTTCATGTTTTAGGTTATTTGATTAACTATTCTATTTAATGTCATACTTACTTTCCTCCCGATAAAATAGCGTCTACATATTGTTTTTTTCTTTGCCGCTAACTATAAGACGCCAACATATGACGTAATGACTGGAGATAGATAAGTTTATCCGGCAAGTCTTTATCCGGTTGATAATAAAGACAGTTATTATCACGCCCTATGAGTATCTCCGATAGTGTTAGAATTTGTTTTCTTTCATATCGAACGAAAATAAACAAAAAGTGTGTCTTTTGAAACAATCTTAAATGGCATGTTCGGCATGTCTTCTATGCCTTACTTTTCATTGCACGTTCAAAATGGCGGACGAGTTCTTGAAAGCATTTTATCAAAAACATGCAAAGACATTAAATATCGAGTTAAAAGCAGTTATTTAACTGTTTTAAGATTTTTGTTAAATCGGTAATCACTTTTACCAGAGCAGTCGAGTTTAAAGCTACATTAAACAGAATATGTAATCATATTTTTATGTCGGCTTAAAAACCAAGCATTCTATAGTTTCAACAGTATTGTTGTAAATTTTATGAATTTATAAGGAAACCCCCGCGGTAACACTAAAGTTCGTATACGAATTTTAACCTTGTATAATCAGCTCGTGTATGCGATACGTCACAATGGTAAAATCAATTGTACCATGTGGATCACAGGAAATATGAGATATTTTTGTGGGTTTCTCAAGAAATCGTACTTCCGATTTCGCAAAAATGAGGTTGCAAAAAAAAAGAACGGGAGTCGATATGAAACATACTTTGATAACGAAATGTAGCCATTTCTTTTTTCATGAAATTTATTTAATGTAGCTTTAAAAGCTTTTGTTTTTATTACCAACACTCAATATTGTTTGTTTACGTGGTGAAATATCTAGTACTTGTAAATTCTTTTATATAAAGCAGACGGGGATATATTTTGTACGACAAAAGTATTTAAGAAGTATTTCGAATTAGGCGAAATTAGTTAAATTCGTATAGTAGTGTTCACATTTTTTACAAACACAATCACCAGTCCTGTATTTTTATTGTCAACAAACAATGTGGCATAGCATGTGGTATTTCATCAATAGTGTTTAATTTGTTAAATAATTCATACACATGCTCTTTTAAATCCATGACTTTTTTTAAAACAGTATTTTTAATGTGAAAATGTCGAAATTCCCATACTCATCATGCTTATTTAGAACTGGATGTTTATTGTGTATGTTACATACTAGCTTAAAAGATGGACTTAAATAAGAAAAATGTACTACTTGATTTCAGTAATCAAGAGAAGTTTAAAGAATATGAAAAGAAAATGGAATGTGAAGTAAACAAAGAGAAGCTGACATGGTTAGGTTGAAAGAGGAATTGACAAAGACGCTGGCTGAAGAAAAGAAAAAACACGATTCAGAAATAAAGGACGTGTTGTTAAGGTTTCATCTGTTATATTATCTACTTTAGCATGTTTTAAATTAACGAAAATATTATCTACGGGTATGTATGTCCTTAATTCGTGATTATCAATGGTTTTTTGCATTTCTTTGACTCAAATTCAACATACAACATTATAGTGTCCAGTAAGTAAAATGTTTGTTGTTCATTCAATAGGTTGAGTAAAGTTACAGGAGGAAACCTAACGTTAGGAAATCCGAATATTGCTGACGAAAAACGTCCCACCAAACTTGCAGAGGAATTTTCTGAACTTTATGACAATGAATGGACGGATACATTTGAAGTTCTTAAAACTGATGAAAAGGATAGAACGACCTTCATGCTCCATTTATTACAGGTGAAACTTATGAGTGTTGTAAATCATTTACATGTTTAGGATTAGCTTAGAATTTCTTTTTTGTGTTTTTGTGTGTGTTCTTTTTTGAGAAAGAATATGTGAAAATGACTTTATTTATCTGTTTTTGTTTTGATGCTTTGTTTTGAATCTTTAAGTAGATTGTCATGATAAAATATTAACCAATGTCTTTATGAATTTGAAGAGTTTTTATATCAAAAGACTAATAAGTAGTAGTATCAGTTAACAATATAATTGTAGCAAGAACTTCAAAATAAATATTTCTTCTTTTTCAAGAGTGTTTCTGTTATGATAAGTTATAGCTGTGAATTGGGTTTATTTAATCTTCTCTACATTTCTTATTTAGAGAGCAAGCACTATTTGTCAGCAAATATCAAACGATCATATGCAGAGTATCAAGGAAAGTTTGTGTTCTCTGACTCTCCGAACTCAACTGCCGAAAAGGATTGATGTTGGCACAAATGAAATGTTCGGAATCCTAAAAAATGACAAGAATCAAGTTTTAAGGAATGAGGTATCAAAGCTGTGTGTACTTAATATTATTACATTTAGCTTATTTAGGTTTCAGATAATCAAGTAAAGTTAACAAATATTTTAAGAAATTATATCATATATGTGCCTATCAACTAGTATTAATCCAGTTCCGATGTCCTATAGCGTGAATAAATGCTTTTGATAAATTATCTTTTTTATTTCATCTTGTTAGTAATGAAGAATCGTAAAAGCGTCATATGGATTTCTAGTTGCTTAAGAATAAAAGAAGATTTACAGCAATTACTTTCCTATATATTCATAAATATTAACTAAGCTATTTACATAATACATTGAAAATCTTAAAGCAGAAATTATTAAATAAAATTAAACCAGGTTAGCTATATTCTGACTATTCTGATATTTGAATCCGGTTTTGTTCCACTCGACAAAAAAACCTGATGAAGCATATACGAGGGTTGTTCGCGAGGGTTGTTCGCGAAGTCCGTGTACAAAATTGATTATAGAAAATCAATAAAGTATATTGAGATAAAAAAATGCATCACTAGAAAATTTATTTCATTACAAAACTAGTGATATACTACACATGCATTTTACAAAACATGAAAACACTATAAATTACAGAAAACACAATGCATGTAAGTGAACCCGTGGCAGTGACGTCGCGTTCAACATCAAAAGTCACAGTTTTTCTATGTAGTCACCGTCTACGCGCACGCGCTTTTGATGCCGGTTTGATCCATTTCTGAAAGACTTCTGAATACCACTCTTGGTCAAACGTCACAAGAATGTTCTGAGTCTTCAGAAATCTGGAAACGAATTCCTCGTAGCTGTACGTTTAGTTCAGGAACATGTCTGAAGTCCATGGTAGCGAGGTCCAGACTGCAAGGGGTGTGTGGTAACAATTCAAAATCAAGAAAGTCGGTTTCATTCCTCTTGCCATTTGGCACGGAGGATATCTTGATGCAGAATTACTCTCGCGAATGGTAAATCGGAACGTTTCCTTCTTAATGCACGTGCGAGATCCCTCCTCAGAAACTAAAATACGCAAATGCAAGCATACTGAGTTGTTGCAATAATTATGATTTGTCCATAGATCTTTGTGTAATATTATTTATTTGAATGATATTCTATCATTCTATCTAAAGATTTAAGTTTTCAACAAACAATGCTAATGTTAGAGATCCTGTCACTCATTTTTTTATCGTTTTATGTCATAAAAATAATGTTCAAATGAAGATTTATATTTATCAATATTGTAAGTTTCAAAAAGCATTATTTGTAAATATATTACCGAATTTACATTTTACGTTTAACTTAATAAAGAGAGGAAATTAGAAAACTATTTTCCATAAACTTCAAATCAAAAATTTTTAAATAAGAAATGAATGCATTTATTTTAATGATTGCATATAATGTGGGCAAATATTTGCAGTACATATTTTACACTTAAGTCGATGGTTAAAATCTTAATAACAACATACAGGATCTTTAAAATTTACCTTTGAATAATCCTGTGGTTCATTGTTAACCCTTCCGGAATCTGGTGTTGCAGAATCATGCTTCTTGTCCATGAAGAATAGGAACATGTGCTTGCCGCCGATTCTGATTTGGTTTTAGGTATTGGTTTCTGTAGGGTCCTCCACGTGGACTTCAGGGTCATAGTTCCACAACCAAGTTTCATCAATTGAAACAATGCGGTCTTAAAACGTATCACCCTCTTACTCCAATCGCGTAATATTCGCAAAATTATGGACACTTGAAAGTCAGGCAAAGCTTTAAAATATTGGTTGCCCCGACCGACGTTACCCGCGTTACTATGGACACGGTTTGTGCTAACATTCAAACTAGAAATCAAATAAAGCTTTGGTGATCGGTTTAAATCAGTCGACACTATACCTTAAACAAAAGGCATTAGAAAAATTGCTTTCAATGCAATATTATTCCACTTTATCAGGGACTCCGCGAACATTCCCGTATATAAGTTTGAGAATTGACGTATGTTTTACACGCTGAATGGTATTTTGCATGTAAGATTAGGATAGGTTAGACAGATTACCACTATGAGTATAATATAAATGACATACTTGATAGTCAATTTTAAACAGTATTTTAATTTCTAGACACCCAAGCATATTCATCCTAAAATAAAATTGCACGTTTTTTTCTATAAGATTATTACGAATAAAAATGTACGTTTTTATCTACCAGGTGATTACAATGCCGTTTGACTCTTTGGAAACTGATCAAAGGAAGGTTGTGATGAATTTGCGAAAGTTTGTTGAAAAACAGCTTTCTAATCAGCTTCAAATGGTATGTTTTATATAGCGTTGACCTCTGTACATATTTATTTATTTTGTTGGTAATAGTTTCAATTATGTTCAACAACCAGCTAGCCCATTATTTTTGTGTGTTTTTGTGTTATTTTTTTTTTTGTTTTTTATCTAATAAAATTCATTGCCATACACTACATTCATATCTTTCATTGATTGTGAAAAAGGTTATAGGGTAAGTTATATCAGGTGAATATACATTGAACATACAAAGAAATGCAATAAAAAAGGTTTAATATCGCTTTCATGTCATGTTACGCAACTGCAAAAGCTGTATGTGACACATGTATTTTCAGGAAGTCGCAAATGTTATAGCTTCTGAAAATGATATCAATTTAAAAGAAGATGATACGGTTGTAAAATATATAATGAAATGTGTTAACATATGCTGGACAATGTGTCAACACGAGTCACCCGTACACGTTGACTTCCCTGATCTACAAGTCAATCATAAATTTGATACTAATGTTTTCAAACCGTACACAAAGTCTGGCAAATATCTAGATTTCATTGTATGGCCTGCACTGTACCTTTACAAGGATGGTCCAATGCTTTGCAAAGGGGTTGCACAAGGGTACAATTGGCATGTAAGTACTGTTTCTTGTTTTTTATTCATCAAATATATTTAATTTCTTTTACCATTTTGAAACCATGTATAAACTCAGAGTAAATAATCATCAATTTTTTCTAATGTTTAAATTGATAAGGAAATAATCTTGATTTTGTCGTTTGGAGTCTCTATGATAATCATCATCATTTAAATACATATACAAACTAAGCTTACAGAGTTACAAGCATTACTAGTTTATAAAGATAAATTCCATGTTGATTTTTAAACTGAGCTTAAGTGTGCACAAATGTATACCAAAGTTTTAAGAGAATCATCCATCGTCTCGGCTAAAGTAATAAACTACTATCAAACAATTCATAATCAAACACCTCTTTGCACTTTCTTGTTTCAGGAATATTCACTGTCAACCAATTGATAGAATCATATCACATAATCACAGCGTCATATCAAGAACGTTAGATACAGCGTTTAACATGATGTTATAAAACTTATACTAAGTGACCGACATCTTTTTATATTTTTTAAACAATTAATTAGATAAATAAAGAAATATAATTATAAAGACAAAACATCATCAAAGGCAATGCACTGTACACAATTTATGAAAGATTTCAAAATGTCATCGTTAAAACATTACAAAGAAAGACAGCTAATAGGAATTTCCAAAGTCATGAGTTTTACAATGAGTTACGTAGGTAAAGAAGAACAATTCAAACCAGTATAAAAAAAAATTAACAATACTTTGCATGATTAAAGAAATATTATAGTTTAAACAAATTTTGTTGTGTTATCCGCTCAGAAAAGTATGTGTAAAGCTCATTTTGGTAATTTTCAAGAACAGATAGCTAAAAACCGCGGCTAGTAACGTCTTATTTGATTTCCAGTTCATGTTTTTTTATTTTATCCCCTTTATGGTACAAATGTTGCTGTAATTTTATGTCACTTATATTTTACTTTGTAGATGATTATGCGAAATGATAAAAAATGTTATTTCAGTTTTGCCATTTTTGAAGAAAAGTTCCCTCATTTAAGCGTAGTCAAGTGCATGTTATATTGTTTTATACCTAAAACCTACTATATTGACTGAAAATGTAATAACGAAAAATAAATTGAAACAAAAATTATATAAAATGCCTGATTTTGAGCTAGTCATAGTCTTGAAAATGACACGAAACTCACTTTGAGGGCATATAACCCAAAAATATATTTCAATTTTTATAAATTAAAAATAAGGATGGCGATCCCTTATTATTTCCATATATATATGGCATACGATTACCACAGACATGTTAAATTTTATTATTTTACAGGAAACAATAGGTTTGTTATATCACTATGTCAAAGTGTGTTTATTATCCCCCGCCGAAAAGGCGGCGGGGGATATAGAAATAGTCTCTGTCCGTCCATCCGACCTTCCATCTGATATTTTTGTCCAGAGCATATCTCAAAAAGTCTTTGAGACGTCAACATGAAACTTCATAGATGGATAGATCTTATTGAGGAGGAATGCTGTGCACAAGAATAATAACTCTACCCTTTATAATTTTTGAGTTATTGCCCTTTGTTATTTTTCAAAATTAATTTTTGTCCACAGCATAACTCAAAAAGCCTTTGAGATATCATCATGAAACTTCATAGGTGCATAGATCTCACTCAAGAGGTGTGCAGTGCACAAGAATGATAACTCTACCTTTCATACTTTTTTGTCCAGATCTTATCTCAAAAAATATTTGAGGTATCAACTTGAAACTAAATAGGTGGATGGATCTCAATGAGGAGGAGTGCAGTGCACAAGAATGATAACTCTACCCTGCATAATTTTAATTTTAAGTTATTGCCCTTTGTTATTTTTGAAAATTAATTTTGTCCAGAGCATAACTCAAGAGGCCTTTGAGATATCAGCATGAAACGTCATAGATCGCACTCAGGAGGTGTGCAGTGCACAAGAATGATAACTCTACCTTTCATATTTTTTGAGTTATTGCCCTTTGTTATTTTTCATACTTAATTTTTCACCTGAGTTGAGCATAACTCGAAAGTGTTTGAGATGTCAACATGAAATGTTATAGGTGGATAGATCTTATTAAGGAGGAATGCTGTGCACAAGAATGAAACTCTTACCTATACAATTTTTGAGTTATTGCTCTTTGGTTTTTTTCACACTATTTTGTCCGGAGCTTATCTCAACAAAATATTTGAGATATCAACTTGAAACTTCATAGGTGGATTGATCTCATTGAGGGGGAGTGCAGTGCACAAGAATGATAACTCTTCCCTGCATAATTTTTGAGTTATTGCCTTTGTTATTTTTCAAAATTAATTTTTGTCCAGAGCATAACTCAAAAGGCCTTTGAGATATCAACATGTAACTTCATAGGTGCATAGATCTCACTCAGGAGGTGTGCAGTGCACAAGAATGATAACTCTACCTTTCATTATTTTCAAGTTTTTGCCCTTTGTTATTTTTCATACTTAATTTTTCACCTTAGTGGAGCATAATTCAAAAGTGTTTGAGATGTCAACATGAAATGTCATAGGTGGATAGATCTTATTGAGGCGGAATGCTGTGCGCAAGAATGATAACTCTTCCCTATATAATTTTTGAGTAATTGCCCTTTGTTCTTTTTCATACTATTTTGTCCGGAGCTTATCTCAAAAAATAATTGAGGTATAAACTTGAAACTTCATAGGTGGATAGATTTTACTGAGGAGGGGTTCAGCACACAAGAATGATAACCTACCCTGCATTTTTTTCAGTTATTGCCCTTTGTTATTTTCAGCCATCAGTATTCACATAGGTTTCAAATCTGTAATCACTTCAGCCATTAGTTTTCATTACCAAAAGACCTCTTAAAATTGAATTTTTCTGCTCTACTACATATACATTCTTTCAATGAGCATACCCATTCGGCGGGGGATGGCCATGTTGACATGGCTCTTGTTTTTATGTATCTATTGAATTATATATTTCAAAAAAGCCGCATTGATTTAATGTCATAACTGCTTAAATTATTTGAGTCTTGATTATTATGCGCACGTCCTACTTGCAATTTATGTGTACTTATATCATTTGTATTTTTGTTATTTTTAGCAACATGAATTTATTTATATCCTTAAAAAACAAATGTGTGATCAAGAATAAACAGCACTTGTGATTTTTTCACTTCTATTTCAACTTCTCGCAAATATGCAGTAAAAATCAGTAAAAAAAACTATATGAACTACTCAAAGACAAAATACGTTTTATAAATTAAACCTCCTTTGTGCATTTCATTGCTGACTGAACTTTTATCTGAAATAGTTTCCCTCTAATCCAGAAAAGTTAGATTTAGGCATGTTTGACAGATCAGCCTCTAACGTAGCTGAATATAGATATACTAGTGAGTGTACAAAATTTAAATCTGGCCTATCTTGTTTTTATACCGGACTTGCTTGTTGTAAATATTTATATTATTTTAGCTACGATGCAATACCTGGGATAGTCAAAATATCACAGAATGCTAACGGGAAAAACAGATCTTTATCTTTTGGCTCCTTTGTTAAAACTGATCAGGTAAATCACTTTCCGACCCAATGACAGACCAGTAATTATTTATCGTCTTGTTTTTGTTCTATTGCTTTCTATACAAAAGGAAAATCGAGAAACTCGTGCACATAAGATTTAGCATTATGAAATAATCGCTGAATATATATCCAGTAACGCAGAATTGCTAATATTATTATATTTATTAACGGATAAAAAAATGTGCAAAAAAGCGCCGAAATGTGCATCTTTAAAGGAAAATAACCACTGCATTTTGTAAACAGCCTGCTATTTTTCATAACATCACTTATCTAACTTAGCGCATACAGCAACTAACACATATTTCTAACTTCCTGACAAATGTTTTCAATTAAAGTCTTTGATTTTTAAGTCCATTGTTAAAAATGACCCGGCTAAAATTCTAAAAGCTTCATATGTCTAGGTGAGCCATTTTTTTTGTTTTAAACTTTAGAAAATATACTAAGAGTTAACGAAAAGAATTAAAGTAATTGAAATTATTATTGACGTTTTGTGTAGTACTACATTTAATGACTGATTTTCCAGTCTTTATCCAAATATTTCAAATGTGTGACTAACGCAGTGAGGTCTATTTTTGCATATTTTGACCTTGTTTTGGTAGTTTACGTAAATTTTTAAGTGCATATGCAGTGTGGAATTTTTTCACTTTACAATAAATTTCTTTTAAATCCAAGTTTTATATAAAAATGAAAATAATCAGGAGGCATGTTGGTGCAAGAAGAATTATTTGCTAATATCGATTAGTGCCATCACGCATAGAATAGGATAACATGAGAATTTTGCCACTTACTTTATCTTCAACAATTGATTTTATTTAATTCATTTTTTTTTAAATATGACAATGGTAAAATCCTATTGATGACATGTTGGTGTGTGCTCTGTTAAAATGATGTATTTATATTATATAACATGGGAAATAAATATATAACTCATATATGAGCGGTCACCGAAGGCGTCTCGACAGGTTACTGACCAGGGCCCGGATGGACGCAGTACGTTTCACGTATGGTCCTAAGGTGTCCGTAAGGATAGCGTTAGGGTTATCAAACAGACCTTATGGCAGGTAAAACATTGGACAGTAAATTAGGCGAACCGTACACTTGTGAAGGTCACTTTCGTTGTACAGAAGTTATCAGTACCTTGAGAAAGTGAAAGAGATTATTACTGTTTAACTGCTTGACGAACAATACGGTGGCTGAACTGTATGTATATTCACGTTGGCTTACTGCCATAGTCATCAGGGTAAAATATGATAAACAAGATCAACAGGGAAAGGCGGCGTTCAATGAATGCAACCCCCACACGATCCAGCAACAAGAGCAAGTGGCAAGGAGCCCAGGAGGAGCCAATGAGGACCCCAAACAAAAACAGGACAGGACAAAAGGCAGAGCACGTGCAGGTTAATCACTTAAAAAACCACCATAAATCATAGATACCATCATCATTCTCTCATTAGCCAGCGTGCAGAGCTGAATCGGTTAAGTCGCTAGACTTGTAATCTGGACATTGTGGGTTCGATTCCCGGGATGACCAACTGAAATTACTCGGAATCTTTCATCTTTTTGGACGAGACTTGTGAATGAGTGCTTAAATACTTGGATAGGTAAAGAAGAAGGAAAAAATTGTTTGGTGTGCTGCTTGGCTCCTTGACGGTCGTCATCCTGTGTTGCTGGATAGTGTCGTGGTTGCGTTCATTGAACGCCGTCTTCCTTATTGATCTTGTTTTTCATATTTTCTGAATTTGTGGCATCTTGCTATCTGTATATTGCACTGTCCTCCTAAATCTAAAACGACTACATGTAATACTCTTCTGGAGGACTCGCCTGTACGGGCAACCGTTGGCGAGTATTAAG